AACACTGAATCTTTTCTTTTTGCTTAACTTTGATCTGCATTTGGCAGCTGGGCGTTTTTCTTCTTGTTTTAGGTTACATGGTTCCAGACTTTTGAGAAGAGTTTGCTCACATCCTGGAAAAAGTGACAAAAGTGAGGCTTGAGAAAAGAAGTGAAAAAGTGGCAGGCTTTTGGCAGCCGTCCACGCCTCAAAGATGTTCCTTAGGGGCACGCCAGCCAGGACATATTTACACATTCAGGGGCGAAAAGCAGCGGTAGCCAAATCAGCGAACCAGTGGCTCTCGCACTTAGAGTTCGAACAAGCACGAGGAGCGAATGACGACGCTCACAGTTTACATTGAGCAGAACCAGAACTTGGCTACCTATTTTTGGTAGAACCACTTGATCGTTTTAGAAAAAAAATGCCTGCCACAAACCATCAATAAATGTTGCCATTGTCTGCAAAAAAAAATTGAACAGATTGTAATAAAATCTTCAATTAGCGTTGAAATTTTTCAGAAGGTGCTCGACTTAATATCGAGTAAGAAGGTTTCTATACCTTACGAGGGTAAGATCTTGGTAATCAATATTGACAGATATACCACATTTCTGTCAATATCATCAGGAAAGTTATATATTAATTTAATCTTTGAAAGTAATAAGTCTCAACAAGTCCTCAGCCAGCCGCAAAGGTTAATTTTTCTATTAGAGAAGACCAAGTTCGAATGGATCCTCTTCCAGCGAAAGATCAACTACCGCCTTTATGTCCCATTTCTGCTCGCAACCGCATTTATACAAAAACAGTTTCGATCCTTTCAGTGGCCAAGGTTCGATTTGGGAAGCGAAATTTGTCATCCAAGACTCTCTCAGTAGCCAAGGCTCAGCTGGACATTTCAGGAGTTGGTATCGTTTCCGAGCCCGCATCACCGGTGATGGTCCTCGCAACTTCTTCGCCCAGCTCGGGGGGTATCAGTGGTCCATCGTCAAACGCAAAAGCACAATCTAAGGCACCAGAGGCTACTACCTAGGATGCTAAACCTATCTAAACTCGACGCTCTAATCCTCCTACTAACAGAGTTTAGTTTTCAGCATTTCAAATCATCAATTAGAGGATCAAAAATTTTGAAAAAGCCAATAACTGGTAAAGCAAGCTTATGAATTTGAGAAATTGGCTTGAAAAAGCCAATAACTGGTAAAGCAAGCTTATGAATTTGAGTAATTAAGTATCTGCCTGACAGAGGTTAAAAAATATAGACGAAAAGCAAACTTAGACGAAAAGCAAACTCAAAAATAACCAAATTTATTCAATGCTTTGAGTGCAAGTTGCTTTAAATGTTTCCAAACTTAAATTAACCCATGATTGAGTAAACACTGGTTGTCCAACCGCAAATCAAATTATTCAACCTCACAGTTGTTTGATTTAAGCAATTCAAAAGTGAACCCGGGTTGACCTCCATACACCCAAAATGTTTATCATGCAATTCCATACATCAAGTGTGTGGAAAAACGCTTGACATACTACAACTTTCATTCAATTTGGTTAAATGGTTGAAAAAAGATATAAACTAATTTCTGCGGCTGTCTGATTCTAATTAAACAGTCTGGTGATAAAAAAACCGAGGTTTTAGTTTTTTGAAAAAAATGCTTTACTTAAACGGAAATTGTATGACTAGCATTTTTTTGATGGCGACACACAGGGGCGGATCTAGGATTTTCTCGAGGGGGGGGCGGATTTTCAAAAAGAAATCGAAAATGTTGACGACCTTTTTTTTTAGGTCGACCAAATTGATTTTTTGAGTTCTCCGAAAGCACTGTTTTGCCCCTATTTTTGCAAAATTTTCTGCGCCGCAGGCAAATTTTCGAAAAAACAGTCAAAAAAGGCGTTTTTAGGCACTTTTTGGAAAATGTTGACCAAAAAATTGCGTTTTTTCGGCGCGCGCTCCCCCCTCAAAATTAGTAAATATTGGCGCCCAAAGAGCCTTTAGAAAAATTTTAGGGTCGGTCGGCCAAAAGTGGATTTCTTAAAAAGTACCATTTATGTGTTTGGTTTATATTTTTTGGTTCATAAATTATTTGGTTTGTGGAAAAAAACCTGTCATACAATTTTCATATATGAGTTTGGTTTATATTTTTTGATCCATAAATTTTTTGGTTTAAAGAAAAACACCTGTCATACAATTTTCATATATGTGATTGGTTTATATTTTTTGCTCCATAAATTTTTTGGTTTATAGAAAAGCACCTGTCACACAATTTTCATTTATGTGTTTGGTTTATATTTTTTGGTTCATAAATTATTTGGTTTGTGGAAAAAAACCTGTCATACAATTTTCATATATGAGTTTGGTTTATATTTTTTGGTCCATAAATTTTTTGGTTTAAAGAAAAACACCTGTCATACAATTTTCATATATGTGTTTGGTTTATATTTTTTGGTTCATAAATTTTTTGGTTTATAGAAAAACACCTGTCATACAATTTTCATATATGTGTTTGGTTTATATTTTTTGGTCCATAAATTTTTTTTGTTTATAGAAAAACACCTGTCATACAATTTTCATATATGTGTTTGGTTTATATTTTTTGCTCCATAAATTTTTTGGTTTATAGAAAAACACCTGTCACACAATTTTCATTTATGTGTTTGGTTTATATTTTTTGGTCCATAAATTATTTGGTTTGTGGAAAAACACCTGTCATACAATTTTCATATATGAGTTTGGTTTCTATTTTTTGGTTCATAAATTTTTTGGTTTTTAGAAAAACATCTGTCATACAATTTTCATATATGTGTTTGGTTTATATTTTTTGGTCCATAAATTTTTTGGTTTATAGAAAAACATCTGTCATACAATTTTCATATATATGTTTGTTTTATATTTTTTGGTCCATAAATTTTTTGGTTTATAGAAAAACACCTGTCATACAATTTTCATATATGTGTTTGGTTTATATTTTTTGGTCCATAAATTTTTTGGTTTGTGGAAAAAAACACCTGTCATACAATTTTCATTCAAATGCTAGTCATAGAGATTTCATTGAAATTATATGATAAGAGGTTTTGGTCAACCCGGGTACTATACAAAATCGATTTAAAGTTTTGCAATCAAATTTTAATGATAATTTTGATCGGTTCTGTGATCCAACACTCTTTTTATTTTTGTGTAACTTGATTCTATCAAAACAATGTTGTAGGATCTATTCTTTTACCCAAAATGTCAGTTTTGTACAAACAGTTGCTGTCAAATTCAGTCATTTTACGATCAACTAATTAGCTTGACGTTTAATTTCCTAGGACATGTCATAACTTCTTGTTTTGAGTTTGTAAGATGTAGGGACCAGGTGCCGCAGTCCGTACCTCAAAGAACCTTGCAAGAACGGTATGCGAGGACCAGTTTTTTAGGGTGGCGACCCTCATGATGGAGCGAACGATCGTTGGAAATTTATTTTACGTTGTTTTTCGCCAATCAGAATTGAGTGTTTGAACAATTCAAAAAAATGCCAATTACTCACAGAAAGCGATTATATATAATCATTAAACTTAATATTGACCGAAAAAAGTAAACAGATATATTTTTTCAAAAAATGAGTTTTCAAAAATGTTCAACAAATTTATTGTTCCAACTTTCAAAATAAGACGAAAAAATTGTGCTCGAGCTGGTTTTTTGTAATCCAGATAATTTCAATTTTTTAACTAGCATATCTTGATGGCTCTTTCTATTTAACGAAAATTTATTGTCGACCGGAGCTCAGAATCGATTTATGTTTTACCTGCAATCTTTTTTTGTAAAGTTATGAGATTTAAAAATTGCTAATTTGACCAATTTGGGATTATTAATACACGATATACTTTGTGCAATTAACACGTACGGGGTGATTTAATCCGTATCTAAAACTATTCCAAATTGAAGTGAAGCAAGTCATCTGATCTATTTATTGCTTTGCTGGATGCTAAATACATGCTAAATATTTTGTAAATTACATAGCGTGTGGGGATTAGTTTTACTAAAAAAATCAGAAACATTTATTTTTGAATTTTAAAAAATTTCATCAATTTTTTGAAAGCAAACACTAGTTCATGTTAATTAAAAGCTGTCGGATTACTCAGGGCGTTGCCTTGATACGAGTTTTTTTGTTGCATATCTCCATGAAAGGTGGAGCAAACTTTTGATGCGCTGATATAATTTTTTTTTCTGTTTATAATGACTCTGATTTTGCGCAAAAGTCATTTCGCCAAAGGGAACGTCGTGCAGTTCCGATTGGTTGAATGTTTTCCATCATTTAAACCCCCTGTCAAAAAAAAAATTAGCAGCCCAACTTTTAGAATGAAGAACTGAAATATAGGTTTTTTTAGCCGATTTTGATTGACAGCTTGATGGAATGACGGAAGTAAAAAAGCGCTTATTCTGGGTTTAAGCTTCCCAAATTCAAACAATCATCTCACAATTTATCAATAAAGCTCTAGGCAATGTGTTGATTTATAGCGAACTTTTGTTGTCCACAATCAGAAGGCCGAAAGACAAGAAAGCCGAAAGCGAAAGCATGGTGCGAGGAAATAGCAACGCAAAAAAATAAACAGAGTCAGAATCAGACAACTAAGGTAAACCTCAGCTATTTGTTTTGTGAGTTTGATAACAAAAAAGAGCTGTACTTTTTTGGGTTTTGGCTCTTTAGATAGAGGAAAACCTGTTTTTGAGAACAAGCTAGATTTTGAAAGCAGTAATAATAATCATAATAAATGCAATGAGGTGTTAACTACAAATTAAACCTATTAAATCTATCGTTCTGTTTAAATTTTTAATTTGAAAAATTGGCTATTTTATGGAACAATTTGTGCTTAAATTTGTATGATGAAAACTTTTTGCTAGCTTATGCAAAAAATATACACGAAAAAGCGGACATTTTCAATCTTCCACCAAAGTTTATTCATCTTTATTGCCTTCATTTTTCGAAGTGAGATATTTTAATTTTTATTTAAGTAGGATTTTAGTTTTAAGGAAAGACATCGCATAATAGGGAGATGTATAGTTCAGTCCATGTTGAGAACTGTTATTCCAGTTTGGAATTTACAGCAGCACTCCGTGCACTTGAACTTCACATACATTCAAGAATCCCACAGAGTTGCTGATCCAGATGAAGCTTCCAGGAGATGCACAGTAGACTCTGTGCCACTCGCCTGGTCTCTCGACAACCACCGTCTCACAGTAGTAGTTGCAGTAGAACCCAACACATGTATTAACGGCAATTTCATCTCCAACAACTCAAACAAATAAATTAGTGACGTTTATGGTCTGGCTTTTAGAAACAAGAGAGCAGCAACAAGGCATCATGGGAACCACAAAAAAAAGAGAGAGAAAAAAAGAAAATTAATATTAGAGTAATTGCGAGTTACGCGCCATCATAAAAAAATCGTGGTTATTTCAGCTTTCTCCTAAAGTTGCCGGATGTAGCGACCGTTTTTCATTCAGTTGCAAAATAGTGAATAGCTATGATTGGCCAGGATTCATAAGCTTCTATTATTTTGCTACTAGATGCAAAATATGTCTGGTAATATTTGATAACCCTAGGGAACTTACATGGAAAATAACAAAAGTCTCATTTGTTTCGGAAATTTAATAATCTATTCGTAAAGCCGTAAAGCAAAAACAGTTTGAGAATAATTATAATGGAAGTCAAAGCGTTCCGCGTAGTGGATTTAGCGGGCATTACGAGGTCGCATTTTTGTGAAGAAAAACGTCCATTTAGAACGCACTTTGGCACAAGTTATTTAATATTTTTGAATAAAAAAAGTGGCAAAAAGTGGGGAACCGGACCGCGCTACTAGACAATTGGAACGTCTTCATTTTTGCTAGCGCCTTTTTATAGCCGGTCTTTCGCATGAAATTTTGATTTTGACTTTTAATCATTTTTAAGACCGGAAACACTTTTTCAAAAACGTTCTTGTACCTACACCAGCATGTTTTATGACCTTGAAAAACGCCACCTCCAAGGTCAATTATTGAGTAACAGTAAAATAATAATGGCTCACAAACATTATGAAATGTCTCAACAACCTTTAAAATATGATAATAGATTGCGTCCTTCTGTTTTCTCTATTTTACAATTATCTCTTCTAATAAACCAAAAACGAATTGTTACGAATGACTGCAATTAACACATGATACATGATAAAAATTCCACCTCTGGAGCCAATATAGTAATAGCCAAATGAAATTCAAAACTAAATGTTTGAACGCTTGCACTTAAAAAGCCAACGTTTACAGATATGTCTCTGGATTGCGCAAACAAAAAGTCAATCACCACCTTATTTTGATTTCTGCATCGGAATTATCAAAAGGAAAAGTTTATTTGAAACCAAAAATAATTGAGGAATCCAATTGCAAAATTTTGGAAACCACTGGCAAGTTTTAGATACCAAGGAAAAAACATCAGCCAAATGCCACTAGAAACCAAAATTTTAATAGAGCTTACTTCTACGGCCTCCATACATACATCCTATACATATTACGAAATAAAAATGAGTTCATTAAATTATGTATCGCGTTTTTGCGAATATTAAACAAATTAATTTTAAATTAGTTTTTTCCTTGAAAATATTTAAAACATTTCACTCATTGGATTAACAAATTTTTTTTGCAACAAAAAAATTTGATCTTTCGTGAAACTGGTTAAACTGCCGTAAGAGTTTTATTAGCGAAAGCTTGCTCAATTACATTTAACTATTTTCAACATAGTTTTTTTAATGCGCTGGTGCATGGGTTTAAATGAAAAAGATATTGTTTTTGCAATTTTTGAGTGGTGATGATAGTGTTTGCAATTTTTTGAAGCATCACGCTATAGTTTTGTTCTCCGAAAAAATTACCATTAAAATTGTTCAAGGCATCGAAACTTCCTAGAAAAAGATACCTAGCAGACATGCAGTAAACTCGTTAAGCGTTGCCTTGTCATTCAGCTAATCAAGCCAAATTTTTAGAGAAAGCTATAAGAAACACGAATAAAAAAGATTTCATATACCACGAAAGCCAAAATTTTTTTTTAATATTGCGTTATGTCTTTTTACATAAAAAGGAATTATTTTTCCATTTAGTCGCAAAAAATTAATAATTACTATTGAATTGGTTGTTGGTTGTTGTTTGTTGAATTTCAGGTAATTGAATGGAACGTTGTATTGGGACTGAAAAAACGGATGAGAAAGCATATCAAAAATTATTTTTGCTCTTTTTTGTAATGATTTAAGGTAAATATTATTACAATGGTTTAAGGTACATTTTAACGGAGGCTTGAAGAAAATCTCTATATCTGAGAATTCCAACGGTTCGGATTTTTTTTTGAAATTTTTTATCTAATAAGAACAATGGTACGGCGAAAAACGCAATAGCGAGATAAAATGTCAAGTTCAAGAGTTCAAACTTCTTTTTTTTAAAAGTATTCTTCAATTCAAGTATTTCGGGTGTTCTTTTCAGAGCACGCACCTGATGTTGTAGAAACGAGTATTTCAGCGAAGTGGATGTCTGCAATCCCTTCCTGAAGATCAAGGTAAACGTTGTCCTGAGAAGCCACATCTGTCCAGCCCGTATAGCAGTCGAGCACGGACCAGTCGCCATCGACCATCAACTGCTCGTCGTTTAAAGTGCCCGAGTTGTATTGACTCGGCTCCAGTGGTATTTGAATCGGTGACGCTGCAAATAGGCCGGATTGCACTCAACTTTATTGATGAAAATGCAGTTGAAATTTGGCAATCTTCAAACCCCAATAACTTTACGAAAAAAGATCACAGGTGAAATATCTTTTCAAATTTAAGCTTAGGATAGCTTTCGAATGATGTAAAAATTTCTGTCAAACATGGCTAGTTAAAAAGTCGAAATTTGTCTGAAGAAAAAAACCCACACCGAGCACAAATATTCCGTTACTTTCGTTATCGAAAGTCGGAACAAAAATTTTCATATATATTTCAACCGTTTGTACAAATTGCTGATGAATTATAAAACGTTATGATTTAGAAAAAAAAACATCTTTCCTGATGATAAACTAAACGTGACATCGGAAATTGTCTTCTTTTTGATCACAAACTCTTAGTCTTGAAACTTTTTGGGGTCTTTTTGGTTGTACCCCTCTAAATGAATAAAATTGGCAACTCAAACTTCGGGTTGAAATTGAAAGCTCGGAAGCCGTTGGAACAAACAATTAAATACCACTCGAGTGCAATTAGCAGCTGTTCGATTAGGAATCAAAATTATATATCAAATTTATCACTTCCTAATCGAGCAGCTGCTAATTGCACGCGAGTGGTATTTAATTGTTTGTTTCCCTCGCTTTCGCGCTTTCAATTTCAACTCGAAATTTGAATTGCCAAATTTATCCATTTGGGAGGTATAACCGGAAAGACTCTTTTTTCCTGACAGAAAACAAAACAAAAAAAAACAAAGACAAACACGAACTTAATTATAAATCTCAATCACTCCGTTCATTGACGTTTAAAATTAAAGTATCTTGATTCTCAGCGAAGAGTGACTTGAAGATTATAAACTCAAAACCTTCTTTTTATAACAGTTTCTTTTAAAATTGATTTTTAAGCGATCCACAATTCAAATTGCAAATAAAAAATCTGCTTGTGACAAATTTTTAAACCTCTGCTTGTGACTATTTTTTAAACATGAACCAAATTTTGAATCTCAATCATTCCTTTCATTGACGTTTAAAATTAACGTATTTTGATTCTCAGCGAAGAGTGAATTGAAGCTTATAAAAAAACTCAAACCTTTTTTATCAAGTTGGAAACAACATTTTCTGAAATTTTTCATCAATCGAATCACAATATCAAACGCATTTATATGATATATCACTCACTTTTTTCGAGACTACTTTGCTGATGAGATTTTGCATAGGAAACAAGACTGCTCGTATCAGAGCGAAGCCCTGAATGTTCCGACTGCCTTTTAAGGTTTATGGAGCCGTAATAACATTTAAAAATTCAATGAAATAAAATAAAATAATTTTTTTTTCTGAATTTGAAATTTCTTATGAAAATCATCCCCCCACACGCCATTTAAAGTACAAAAGGTTAGATTTCGCTCCTTGTAAAAAACCATTTATGGCAAATAAGCTTCTTTTAACCAATTTGGAACGATTTTTAAGACGGATTAACTCTCCACTTACGCGTTAATAGCGCGAAATATATCGCGCGTTAATTGTCCCAAATTGGCCAAAATGGCAATCTTTAAACCCCCGTAACTTTACGAAAAATGATCACACGTGAAATATGTTTTCAAGTTTGAGCTCAAGACAACAATACCTTTCGAATGATATTAAAAAATTCCGTCAAAAATGGCTAGTTAAAAAGTCGAAATTTGTCTGAAGAAAAAAAAACACCCCGAGCACAAATATTCCGTTACTTTCGTATCGAAAATCGGAACAAAATTCAAATCTAAGTTCTTTCTCCCTTTCTTTCCTGGTTGGAAATAAAGCTAAATTATAAATAAGGCTAGCCGGTTGCTGTGCACAGAATGTTCCGACCACATTAATAGAAAAGCTCAATAAACACTTTTTTATCTTCAAATTAGCCTTGTTTCTTCTGCGTGGTCTAGTTATAGTACTATAAAAACGCGGCAAAAATTAGTGAATGAGGCATAAAATGCTAAATTGTCTTAAAAAATAAACAAAAAAATAAAAGAAAAAGAATCAAAAAGAAATTTCTAAAAAATTGTCTAGTTTTACCACTAACAATTTAAAATTTGTAGGAAAATTTAATAGCCGAAAAGCGCTGAATAAAGCCCCAAAAACCGGTTTTGTTTTTTTAGTAAAATGCTAATTTTTATATATAATGAGCTTGAAATTATAACGATCGAACTCGCTTTTCTCGCTCGAAATTAGACTAAAACTTAAAAATTTTCACCAAGTTTTTTCTCAACACTGGTAAAAATTTTTGTGTTGTAATGATGTCGTTCAAATCACAACTAAAAGTTCTTTAACATGATATATCACTCGATCCATTCCGATGATTATTTGTTGTACCTGATTTTACATGGAAAGCAAAAAAAAAGAAACAAAAAATTTAAACACACCTGCATACTTTTCAATTGACCAGAAGAACAATCAGATCACCTTTGTTTAACTGATTATTCATTAGAAAAAACTGCTCCGTATCAGGGTAGAACTGCTCCATAACAACGGAAAAAATATATGCTATCTTTAAAAATATTTTCGGGTTTTTTCGCCTCAACAAAGTACAGAGCGTTGTTTTTTGCGCATATTAGCGCTTCACTTGGTTCACTTAGCTTAGGTCGGTTTTATTTTAAGTTTTCTGCTAAAGGCTACCTAAAAACAGGAAATTTTTTTGTTGTCAGTGATTTTTTAAATGTATCATTGCCAGTTAACACAATTTTGCCAAAATTCTTACAATTTTTTTTTGCCAGTTAACACAAAGCCCTGTTTTTTTGGGAGGTATCAGTAGGTCTGTGCTTGAATAGCTTCACTGGAGCTGATGTTTTTAATAAGCGATTCGTTTAAGTTTCACTCTTTTGGCCTAAAAGTAATTCTGATCTTAAAGCATAAAAGTTTTCAAAATAGGAAATTAAAAATAAGTTTTTGACATTGGCAAAGCTGTAGAATTGTTTCATTGCGTCTAATCATGGCGGAAGTTGATTGTATTTGATATACCACCAGAATTTATCCTAGCATTAATTGTCGTCACCATATTCAGATATAACTTGAAGTATCGATTTTGTATATCTGCGGAGACAGAGATAGCCGTTTGATATGCAAATAGCACAGAATTCTCAGATCAAAACCATGAAAAAAAAAGTTCTTCATTGTAGTGTCACGTTAGGGGTGGTGTGATTCGAGAACTATATAATTACGGAGAAAAAACGAGCACATTAAGCGTGATCGACAAAACATTTAGCTGCAGGACTATGTCGAAACACCAGTATATCAAAAACAAACCAAGGTTGAAACGCAAAAACTCTGAACTCTGAATGGAAATCATGTTAAAAAAAGCTGCCGCTAAAAAAGATCTTCTGGGTCAAAATTATAACCGCGGTGGCACTTCTGAAAACAAAAAGCACGAAAAAGAATGTGCGCAAACAATTTAACCAAAAACTATAATAGAAAACACTACTTTAAATATTTAGAATTTTAGCAATGGCAGAAAACAAAAAATCTAAACTAAAACAAGACTGCTCGTATCAGGGCGAAGCCCTGATTGTTCCGACTGCCTTTCGAGGTTTATCGAGCAGTAATAACATCTAAGAATTAAATGAAATAAAACAAACTGAAAAAAAAAATTCTAAAATTTGAAATTTTGTATTAAAATCATCCCCACACACGCCATATAAAGTACAAAAAGATAGATTTCGCTCCTTGAAACAAATCAATTATGGCAAATAAGCTTCTTTCAACCAATTTGGAACGATTTTTAAGACGGATTAAATCTCCGCTTACGCGTTAATAGCGCGAAATATATCGCGCGTTAATTGTCCCAAATTGGCCAAAATGGCAATCTTTAAACCCCCGTAACTTTACGAAAACTGATCACAGGTAAAATATATTTTCAAATTTAAGCTCAGGGCAACAATGGCTTTCGAATGATACAAAAAAATTCCGTCAAAAATAGCTAGTTAAAAAGTCGAAATTTGTCTGAAGAAAAAAAAAACCCACCCCGAGCAAAGATATTCCGTCACTTTCGTATCGAAAGTCGGAACAAAAATAGGGTAAGAATGACTAGAATATCAGTTGAGACTTTCAATATGAGTTTGAAACGTTTTATTGAACTCTTTTCAACAGTTTACCCATAGAGTGTCATTTCTTGAGCAATAAATAATTACATTGTACTGATACCTAATGATCAAGGGGAATTTTTCAAAATTTGAGAATATATCAAAGAAAAAATTCAATACAGATTTCAATAATTTCAATAACTACTTATTGATTAATAAATAATGTGCAATTGCACAAGTATTAACAAAATTGGTTCAAGATTGTTTTGATACACATTGCCTTAAATTGGCTCAAATGACTTTAGTCTGTAAAAAAGATAACCTGGCAGATCATTCAATTTCTCGACCAATAGCCTTGCTGCCAGTGATAGATAGTTCCTAAAAAGACATATATATATATATATATATATATATATATATATATATATATATATATATATACAGCCACTTGATAATTAAAAACCAAAGAATCAACATATATCAGTTTCCAATCATGCCGAGGAGCAACTGAATAAATGTCCTTATCGAAACACTTAAACTCTCATTATAATTGTGAAAAGAATTCGATACAGTAGATCACTTACTGCATTTGAAAAATGCAAGTCTTATGGACTGAGAGATGCGATTGATCAGATACAAAGATCTTGGTTTGTAAAAAGCAGTATGTTGCCGACAAGCATCCAATTTGAAAACTAAAAGAGTTCGCTCGAGTGTTTCTCACGTAATTTCTCTTGGTCTACTACTTTCGTAAGTCTCAGTGATGAGGTGAATACAAACCCGGGAATTACGCAATCTATATTATACACAGACTATATGATTTAGGTAACGAACACAGATGAATACCCTGCAGATGAATGTTCAACATCTGAATATTCAACATCTGATTGAATGTTCAACATATGATGTACCCTGCATATGAATGTAGACAGATGAATGTTCGACATCTGGCTACTTTGAAAAAAAAACGAGTAAACCAAAACAAGCGTACTTTAATGATCAGCCAATTCAGCAAAAAAAAATATTCACAAGTTTGGAATTCACTAGATTAACAGCTGACCTTCAATTAGCATATTGATTTTCTGGGTAAAAACGCTTTGAGGAATTTAAGTATAAGTTAAGGAAATTTTTTTCGATCAAGAGTCTTCTAACAGCTTACAACATTTAAGTGCAGCCTATAATACCAAATGTTTTTAGGTTTACGCATCATAAAGAAGACTAAGAAGATACCCTAAGCCAAAAAGTGAAGCGCTGATTCAGTTTTTATTTAACAGCACGTAAAAATAAATCAATGCAAAAATGAAGATCGAAAAACAAACTGACAACAAATTGACAAATTCTAAATTTCAGAAAATTATTCAAATATTGAATTGCTCATTAGGGATAACGAATAGAAAAAATCTTTACAGATGCGAATTACTAAAGCAGAGAACCAATAGGAGTACGCAAAACTCAAATCAGTCAATTAATTGTTGTTAGGTTGAAAAAATGTTTTAAGCTCAATCAAAAGTATCATTCTAATTTTCTTGAAAATATAAAAAACATTTGTCTCTGAAAAGTGAAATCATTCAATTGTTTTGTTTTGGGCTGCTACAATCTTGATGACGAAGAGCTTTATAGAAAAATTTCTCCTACTCAAATAGAACCGATGATGATTTTTCTGCCTTTTTTGTATAAACATTCCTTTTCTCGTTCTTAGGCGGAAAGCACTACAAACTGAAATCTAGTTGTATCGAGTTGGAGTGATTTTTTTAACCATCTGAGATGAATGGATCATTTTTGGATGGTTAAGAAGGTTTGTCAAGATGGGATAAATAAATAGCTCCTGATTATCCAGTTTTATATTAAAGCAAACTGTATATAACTAATCAGTCGAGCTAAAAATCATTCAAATTGATCCGATGCACCGCAATCGTTTCAGATAATGCGTACCTTCTTACATGTATCATTGTGTGTTTCAGAAAAAAAAGCGGTAAATTTTTTGGGTTTTTTCACTTTCAAACCCAGCCCTGAATTTCAATTTGAAAAACGGCTTTAACTTTGTTAGAGTGCAATGAGACTTCGCATAGTGAATAAACTAACAATTGAGAACAGATTTGTTTTTCAAATTTTTTAATCTTAACCTCACGCATTTAGCGACAGTATTTCACGTATAACAACTATAAAGTTAGAAAAATGGGAAGTGGGGGGGGGGAAGGGGGGGGGAGTGGATTAGAGTAGTTTTTTTGTTAGCAAAATTTTGTTGCTCTTGCACAATTAAGGGCAATTGAAAAATTCAGAGTTTCGACCTGATAAGAGCAGTCTTGCATAATTCAGGCAGGAAAATTATCTGTTACCCTTTGAAATTGTTTCCATTTGTCCTGGAACAAAATTTTTTTGTTCAATGTATTCCATTATTTTGCCTACCTTCACCTGGGCGGTCAGCCAATTTAGTCAAACCCATAGTCACGTCCGCGTCAAACTCCCGTAGACCCAAAATGTCAATTTCATTCTTCTCAATCTTGTTCATGAGGAGCTCAATCTGAACGGATAGACAGGGTGATCTACTTAAAAATTCCCTCTCCTTTTGCTACAGTGAGACGACAAATTTCATTAGCACAAGAGAGAGAGTCTCAAAGTGCAATACTGTTTTTTATGATTAAATTAGTCTGTTTTTGAGAAATTGGATTTTAAGCCTATAAATTTGCGAATTGTTTTTCAAAAAAGTAGGCACAATCTTTTTTAAAATGGTAGTTAGTTGGTTTTCTTAAACGATAAAGGGGGTTGAATTGTAAGCAGATCCGGATCCCTGCATTGGTCCCAGTGAACACGCACAAGTTCCGTTGTCGCTAACGCCTCCCCCGAATGACCCGCCGATATCGCCGTTTAGAATGAGTGTTTCCAGACTGTCCACCCGGGATTCCAGAGATTCCAGAAGTCGAGATTGTACCAAGGTATCTTCCGCGTTGTGGTTATCGATTTCAACTCTGAGCCGATCAACCTCGAGGTCCATGGTATCTTAAAATGGAAAGCCATTATTTTTTGTGTTCTCAAGCGAAAGTTATCATAAATAGACTTCGTTATAAGGATAGATAAAAAGGAATCATTGTGTCGATTAAAATGTGCCTGCAGTTTCTTTTTTGAAAAAAAGATTTTATCTTGAAAAAAAATATATTTCCATCAGGGGATGTATCGAGGTCTCCAGATAAATCGAATTATAAAAAAAACAAGACTGCTCGTATCAAGGCAAATCCTTGAATGTTCCGACTGCTTTTTAAGGTTTATAGAGCAGTATTAACGAAAAAAATTAAATGTAATAAAATAAAAAGAATTTTTTTTTCTTCTAAACTTTGAAATTTTTGGTTCTTTTTCCTTTTCCCCCCACCTCACACAAGCATCATTTTTATGATCTAAGGAGTGGTTTTACAAAGTTGATTATGGAAACCAAATATGTTTTTCGTGGCCTAATTAGTCTGCATGTCAATTTTCATGACAATCGGACAATGTGAACAGTAATTTGAATTACAAAAACTCATCCCCCCATATGTCATAAAAAGTACAAACAATATAGATTTCGCTCCTTGCAACCAGTCAATTATGGCAAATAAGCTTCTTTCAACCACCAACTTGGAAAAATTTCTAAGACGGATTAAATCTCCGCTTACGCGTTAATAGATCGAAATATATCGCGCGTTAATTGTCCCAAATTGGCCGAAATGGCAATCCTTAAACCCCCATAACTTTACGAAAATGATAGCAGGTGAATTATCTTTTCAAATTTAAGCTCAGGACACCAATACTTTCTGAATGATATTAAAAACTTCGGTCAAAAATGGCTTGTTAAAAAGTCGAAATTTGTCTGAAGAAAAAAAAACCCACCCTGAGCACAAATATTCCATAAATTCGTATCGAAAGTCGGAACAATAATTGGAAAACTTCCATTTCGAGCACAGATAATGGCTCTTTTCCAGTTGTCCCCTTTCAAAAGACCGAGTTTTATGTTTGTTTAACGTGTTATTGCGGCTAATTGCGTGGTGTTGCTGTAAAGTATGACAAACAAGTCTGTTCAGAATTGTCGATTCGTTCACCACGCCAAATTTCATTGCATTATGACAACGTTAAACAGACTTTTCAAAACTGAATTTGAAAGGGGGGAACTGAAAAAGAGCCCAGATATTTTGTTTATTAGATATATCAAGAGCCGCTTACGCTCCACAGGGGAGGTGATTGACTCATGATTTGACTTGAATCTTCTAATGCTGGCCAGTTTTCTACAAAAACCATGCTTCAATGTATTGATTGAAATTCAATTTTTCCAGCGAATTTCTTGCAACACTGCGCAAAGTGACAACAAGACTGCTCGCATCAGGGCGAAGCCCTGATTGTTCCGAGTGCCTTATAAGGTCTATGGAGCAGTGATACCATGAAAAATATAAAATGTAATAAAAAAAATATATTAAAAAAATTGAGTGAGATTTTCAAATACGAAGTGATTTTAAGTACGACGTGATTTTAGGCACGAAGTGATAGATTTGGCTCCTATTAACAAATCAATTATGACATATAAGTTTCCTTGAACCGATTTGCAACGATTTCTAAGATGAATTAAATCTCGTTTACGCGTTAATAGCTTAAAATACATCACGCGCTAATTGTCCCAAATTGGCAAAAATAGCAACCTTTAAACCCCCGTAATTTTACAAAAAATGATCACAGGTGAAAAATTTTTTCAAATTTAAGCCGAGGACAACAATAGTTTTCGAATGATATTTTAAAAAATCCGTCAAAATTGGCTAGTTAAAAAGTCGAAATTTGTCTCTAGAAAAAAAAACCACCCCGAGCACACATATCCCGTTACTTTCGTTACGAAAGTCGGAACAATAAACAAACGCAGCGGAGAGGTTTACCTAGTCTGTTTTGGATGAGAGTGATTTGTGTATTTAATTCTTTAAGCTGCTGCCGGCTGATGTCTGAGTCGCTCGCCTGTAGAAGCCTCAATTTTTGCAACTCTGAACCAATAGATGCTACGTGTGCTGAAAATAAAAAAAATTAAATGAGACAAAATTAGTTTCAAGATTCCCTGAAAGTAAGATTATCTTGTGCACGATTATTTTTCAGGGAAACACGCAAAAACTACAAACCAACAAACCATTTTTTTCGTACTTGGTAAAAATCTAACGAACGTGTCGCGTGGATCAAAAAATTAGCAACAAAGCTACAAATTTTCGTAAATTTCAGATATAATGTGCGCTTTGCCATCTACTGAAAAAAAATTTTTTGACTCGGATCTAGGACTTTCTCGAGGGGGGGGGGGGGCGGATTTTCAAAAAATGTTCGATAAGTTTTCGTCCTTTTCTTAGGTCGAACAAAATGATTTTCCGAGCTCCCCCCAAGCACTAAAAAGACCCTATTACCCTGTTTTGGATACAAATTTCAGCGCTGCAGGCAAAATTTTGAAAAAAGCAGGCCAAAATTAGCGTTTTTAGGCACTTTTTGGAAAACTTTTATCGAAAAATTGCGCTTTTTCTCCCCCTTAAAAACTAGTATATATTGGCACCGAAGGCGCCTTTAGGGTTCGTCAGCCAAAAATGGGTGTCTCAAAATAGTACAAATGGGGACCCTTTGTGTCGGCAGCGAACCGAATCCTTGAGATGGAAGGAGCGTCCCCCCTCCCCCCTGTGGTGGCTGTCATACATCACGCCTTATGTTAGATCATGATAACCCACTTGAATGTTAAAGTGTTGTTCGCAATTAAAGTGTCAAGGTCGGGACAGGTACCCCAATCGTGACAGTG